CCTTCACAAACAGCTGCACTCAGGCTCCGATCTCTCTGACAGAGCGACACGGAGATCTGTTCAGCATTAACAGTGGGAATGTCATTGTTTTGCCTGTTTTGGGAAAGCCTCTCAGCATCACCTATAAGGCCACAAGTAAACCCTAACAAATCTTTAGGAGTGAGGGCTGAATCTTCAATATCATAGTAGCTTTGGTTGATAGTACTTGTTGTTATGTCTCTATTAACAGAAGATATCTCAGAATAGGAGCTCTGCTGTTGTGGTCCTTCACAAACAGGTGAGCTCAGGCTCTGATCTCCCTGACAGAGAGATACAGCATCAATAGTGAGAATGTCATTGTTTTCCCTCTCTTGGAAAAGCCTCTCAGCATCACTTAAACCACCATGGGCCGACCCTAACAAATCTTTAGGAGTCAGGGCTGAATCTTCAATATCATTGTTGCTGCGCAAGATGGTATTTGTTGCTGTTATGCTGCTGTAAATAGCAGGTAACTCAGACGAGGAGCTCTGCTGTTGTGGAGGTCTTTCACAAGCAGCTGCAATCAGGCTCTGATCTCGCTGACAGAGAGCTATGGAGATCTGTTCACCATCAATAGTGAGAATGTCATCATTTTGCTTCTCTAGGGAAGGCCTCTCAGAATCACCTGCTCCACCATCTGTAAACCCTAAGAAATCTTTAGGAGTCAGGACTGTATCTTCAATATCATAGTTGCTGTGATTGATGGTATTTGTTGCTGTTATGCTGCTGTAAACAGCAGGTATTTCAGAAGAGGAACTCTGCTGTTCTGGAGGTCTTTCACAAACAGCTGCAATCAGGCTCTGATCTCTCTGACAGCTGCTGGGCTCAGATTCATCATTATAATCACTTTCTGCTTGCTGACGTAATGCAATTCTGACATCTTCTGCCCTGTTTTTCAAAGAGTTACAATTACCCCTGGAAACCGAGATGACTGCACCTTCAACCAAATCCCCAAGCGATGTGTAATCCACAGTCAGAGCTGGCTCACTGCCCAAAGTTGACCGAACCACACTTTCATCTTCCACTCTAGCTTCCAAAGACAAAGCACTGGAAAATGAAACTGACGTGTCGGTTTCACTCTGAATGAATGTCTGTTTTCTTACACTGGTATCATATACATCACCGAAAACATCATCATCACTGGGTATGCTGTCAGATTTACCGGAGTGATAAGCAAAAGTGGCAGACTGAGTCTGGCTTTTGGAATCAGTATTGATGCCAGAGATTCTTCCTGTCAGCTGGCTATCCATTAAGGTGTGTGACTCACTGTCCTCAGCCCCTAAAGGCAATTTTCCTTTATGATTGATGTGCTCTGCTGTAACCTGATTCCAATAAGAGGGTGAGCTCATCTGAGGCATGTTACCACTTTCTGATGGAAGGGAAAGATGTACTTTATTAGTCATTGTTTCTACACTCCCCATTGCCTTACACGCCAACTCTCGATTTCTATTTTCACTCTCTCCTTCTTTGTTATTAGCCTCTTCTTTGGCTAAATCAAGCACCGTGACAGCAGCATTTCTTGAAATCAGCTGCTGTGTGTTTTCAGCTGCATGAATTAAACCCAGATCTTGATCTTCAGAAAGAGAGTAAACACGGTTTTCCTCTGGGTAAAAGTTGCCTTGCGAATCTGAATCCTTGACTAATTCAAGCGGGAGTGCCTCACCAATGGTCCTGCTGCAATGAGACCTCAAAAAGCTCTGCTCTGTGTGACATTTGCTTGACAATGCCTGTTTTAATCCAGAAAATCTGTCTGTCTCAACCATTAGGATGGGATTTTTTTCATCTGACTGTGAGTCATGCAGCTCTAGTACCATCTTATCATCCACTAATCCTTTATTAAGAGCTTCCAGCAGGTTATAACATTTCCCAGAGGTGACGTCCAAAATGCCCTCTTCCTCCATTTGGGTTTTCAGAAGCGCAATAGCACTCTTCCACTCATTTCCACCCTCCACTGAGTCCTCAGAGCTTAAAAACTGAGGTTGTTCAATATGAACACTTGTTGTATCAAAGCACTTAGCCTTATAGTGTGGTGGCACCTGATGGCAAGATTTAAATGAGGACTCAGAGCCAATCATCACTGAAGGTGAGCTAATATTTCTGCTTTCCCCAGAGCAAAATGTGTGAGGGACTGACACATGTAGAGAACCTGGAATATCAAGACCTTCCCTGGCATAATCTCCGGCCTCCTTTTTCAAAGTATTTCCAGAAATTCCTTCTTCAAACTGATCTGACTTTGTCCACCATGTGTCGTTTTCAAACGCGTCTTCCACCTCTACACCTCTGGTGTTAAAATCAATGTCACTACTCACTAAAAGGTCCTTGGCATGATCGTGTTTTGAAGCTTTGTCATTTTTATTAGATTTTTCATCAAAGGTTATTCTTCCATTGCCAGAGGAAACGAAATTATGGGGCTCAGTTGTGTGTTGTGTGTTTTCATCAAAGGTGAGTCTCCCGCCGGTCCGGGAAACAAAGTCATAACGATCAAACACGTCCTCTGTGTTTTTTATTAACTCCTCTGATTCATCATTTATGAGTAGCGACATCTCAGAATCTGCGTCTTCAAAAGGATTTTTGGCATCGAACAAAGTCAAATCAGTCAAACCTTCATCATCGTTCGGATAAAATAGCGTGTCTTCAAGAAAAGCATGAGCCATTTTATTTAACTGATCATCAAGTATCAAAACCCTCTGTTCTGACGTTGGATCAATGTAACTGTTCATCATTAAGTATGAGATGAATAACTGTTTTGCTTCCGTGGGAGAGGGGAGATTAACTTCTGAACCATCATGAGGCCACCCATCAACTGCCAGCTTTTTATAAGTGAGCCAAGATGAAAACTTTTCACTAAGGTGATCAACATCTGGCAGCACATCTGGGATCTCTATGGATTTCAGAACCTCTGCTGTGTGACTGTCGATCCAACCATTTTGAATAGCGGTAGTGATATCTATCACCTCTGAATTTTCTGGAATGTAAAATGCTGCTATTTTCCCTCGATTAGTAAAAAGTCTGCAGGTAAACTCACTGGAGGTGCTTTGACAATCAGATTCATGCGAGGCAGACACCGTTTTTTGGATTTCCCCAGAGTGAGGCAACGCAAGTCCCATGAACTGTTGCTGATTTCCCAGGACGATGAGTGTGCTGCTGGAGCTCATCAAGTCACACTGAATGGCCGCATCCACCTTCAGCCCACCTCCAGCATTCTGGAAGTTACCATTTGACACCTCAGTTTCATTCTGACCTTCTAGATCCCCCTGAGCACCTAACATCCTCACCATAATCTCCTGATTACTAAAACCACCCGAAGTCACACTGTTAATATTCATCTCTGATGCCTCTGACCTCTCTCTGCTCAGGCCCTTGAATATCAGTTTATTAGCCTCACAAGCTTCACCCTCCTCTTCAGGCTCTAAAAAAGACAGACTTTCTGCAGTGCCAAGATTTATCATATCCTGATGAGACTTTTTCCTCTGAAGGATGTTTACATAGACAGAAGCAGGAATTAAACCACACTGAAATGCCTTCTCCAGGGTCATCGTGTCTCCTGTGTAGGATATCTGCACTTCATCACTGACCTGGCTGGCCTCTATTATCTTTATGATCACATCTTCACACATGGACCCTTCTCTAGCTGCTGCTATGTCAGACAGGGACACAGAGGAGACATGTGAACTCTGTATGCATTTGCTTGAATCATTCAACACTGGCAAGTGATTCAGCGTTGATGTGTAGATGCGATTTTCTTCAATAGCTTCGTCACACCCCAGATGAAATTGGGGTTCAGAGAGGTTAGAGGTTAGGAGGGCCCCTTGATGATTTACCAAACCTCTCTGATCAATCAGGCCAGTCATTCCAGTCCCAATCCTATCAAGGGGTTTGAAATCCTGCAGGAAATGAAAGCATGACAATTAATCTCACTAGCTTTGGCTTCAGCCTCAAAATTTGTTCAAATTTTACTAACTGAGGCAAGACAAAATCTATACTCACCACCACACAGACACGGGTTTGTTAAGACAGCGTTTGTGCAAGAGCAAGACTGCAACGGGGTTGCAACAGGAGGGTGATGGAGAGTACATTTAAAGCTATCATGCATCTGGAATATAAGCATTCAGCATCTTGCAAAAAAGAGCGTCGTTAGTCACACAGCACACTGTAAAGTTATATATCTGCTATCCTGTTGAGCTCTTAAAGAGAGCTTAAGCACACTGAAAGAGGTGAAATATCAGACCACAGCTTGGTGCAATTAGCATGTTTACAGCATACTCAGGTTTGACTGGTTTCAGCCATACTAAGTTTCTGTTCCTAAGGAGCCAGTCTAAGAGAAAGTGCGAGAGAATTTGGCAAACACTGTACTAGGGAAAAGAGGATAATGGTTAGACATGCAATCGAACATCAGGGGGCACTGTTTTCCATTAAACACGAAGCCTATAATCCAACCTCATCTGCAGAGGGAGTCTGATCTGAACACTGCTGGGAGAGTTCATTGTAGGCCTGAGTGAGAGACTGCAGCTGCTCTTGGGCCTTCTTTCTTTCCTCTTCTGTCATTCTGTAAAGACAAAAAAATATTAAGGATGAAGCTCCGAACTTTACCAGTCAGTCTTTTGCATGCTAGTCCAGGTAAGGAGGCTTACTTGTCACTGTGTTTGTTTAGCATCGTTTGTGTGGACCTCAGCGCTTCTGCAATTTGTTCCTTTTTAGTGACGATTTCCTCCACGGACACCTAGAACATCAAACAGCAACAACATGCATATCACCATGTTAGAGTCAATGATGCATAGTGACTTTTATGGTAGTTTTACTTTACAATTGCAACGAAAAAACAAGATAATCCTCAAAAATGCACACACACACAGACACACAAATACTTTTTACAGACTAAATTAAATTTTTCATGATTCACTATTTACATGAAGCATACTGCACACAACAACTTTGCAATAAATATTAGCAATGGAAACCTACATAACATTTTAGTTTTTCTCCCAAAGAGAACTTGACTGATTTATACAGTCTTTAATGAGGCTATAATTTTAACACTGTTATTTCTGATAGCACTGTGCACATTGTGCTTTATTCTGTTTTACATAAGTGGCATGATATCAGAAACATAATAAGGGGAAGGTGAAAGTGATTTTGACATAATTTGACAAAATAAAGTCAAATTATGTTACACTGTAATTACTGAATTGGGATTTTACTTTACAGACCTTTATTTAAGTTTATTAAAGTATTACTACAGAAATGCAAAGGTCCACTACTAACATCAAAAGATATATAAGAAGTCAGTGATCTCATTAGCAAATGACATGTAATGAAAATCTAAACTTCTTTAATTCACACATTTATTTTATTTTCTATTCTTTTATGTTGGGCAGATTTAATTATGGACCCCGTGATCATAAACTGCATCTCACCACAATTTAACCATGATTTACTTCCTTTTGCAATATAATGAACACATCAGGGATAGTTTTATATAAATTTCGTGTAACCTTAAGGTGAATAATATCAGTTTTGGGCCACATGTTAAAATATTTCAATAACCTGTGAGACTGACGTCATTTATTATTCAATGAAGTGCATTAAATATGGGTGCTTGTGCAACATATGCATTTGTTTTTATTATGAATAAATTGAAATAAGTATTTAAAAGTATTTCATATTATCTTTGTAGGTCTTTGTAAGTGCAGTAATTAAATCCATGAGCTTCACAACATATATGGATAAAATGAATCAGGAAGTAGACAGTTTGTTTTATTAGAAATAAAACGCTGTGACAGCAAAGGGTGGTGGGATCATTTTGATTGGAGTGTTTTTGTCATAAAAAAAACTCATATATCAACAAAAGTTAGGAATAATAAAAAAAAAAGGACACACCAGGAACATACACATTATTTACCTGCGGCTTATTAGAAGCATCTGTGTTGGCATTACTATCTTTCAGAGCATCCCCACCATTGCTCACGGTCTGTTTCACATTGGACATCCACTGCAATAGTTTGTTAACCTTATCACCATTCTCTCTCTTCTCCTCATCAACAGATCTCTAGAATTAAAATAGACGGACTTTTAACAAGATTGTTAACTTTGCTACAAAAATAAACCAAAACACAGGAAGAGAGCTGTCAAAATCCATTCATGATCAAGTTAAAATCAGCAAAAACCAAAAGAAGAAAACACAAGAAAGCTTTGGACAACCATGTACTGAAAAACTGTTTTGGTCAGAGCTGAAGAAGAATCAGCAGCACTGAAATACAAATATTTTTTTACCAGTTTAGCAATGCAAGGCTTCATTGGTAATACCACAAGAGGCATCTTTGTTCATCAAAAGGTCAAAGATAACGAGAAAAGACTCACTGACTTTAAATCCACCCCACCAAAGGCTAATGCTATAATAACTGACAGGTTTTTATTTATATGCCCAAACATAATGAAATGTTGACTTTGGTCCAAAACCGTGGGATTTCGTAGCTTCCAGTAACCTTAACCCGGTGTGGCAGTCGTACACGCTTCTCTCCAGAGCCTCTTTGAATGTAATTCTTCTCTTGGTCCTTGGACAGGTGAGGCTTTTGGTGTGAAACTTCTCGTCTTTGAGTACAGTGGCGGTAACTTTATCAACGAGCCCGCTCTGAACGACTTCTTCAAGTGAGATTCTGTCGTGGGTGTCAGGTTTTATCAATCCTCCAGTCAGGAGCTGGAATTCAATACAGCGGAAACCGGCGTCTTTTGGGATGAGATTTTCCTGAACCGCCTGGGAAACAGACAAAGTCTTTGCAGTCTTGGGATGAATGAAGCCATTAAGTGCTTGGTCAAACTGCAGAAGCTGCTGACTCAATGCTTCATCCAAAAGACCTCTTTTGAGAGCCTCGGTGAGGGTAACTCTCTCTCCACATGAGGGGTCACAAATACCTCCAGTGCAGGACTGGGCCTCTAACAGCCGCAAAGCAGTAGCTCTGTCAATGAAGCCCTGTTGAAAACCCTGAAAAACCGAAAGCCTTTTCTTCTGAGTGACATCCCAAAGCCCAGCAATGGGGCTGTTAACATCTTCCACAACAACCATTCTTGAAAATATCATGTCTGCAATCTCAGTGATACTAAGAAGACCTCTGCGATAGCTCTCAAGCTCAGACGATTCCAGGAATCTCTGACTTAGAGCCGACTCAAGGCAAAGCTGTCGGCCACCTTTGACATCAGTAATGACGTGAAGTGGGGTTCCACTGGGGTCAGCTGTGGACTTCTCCTGCCATTCACTCTCCTGCTGTGACAGAAACAGATATGTCTTCTTGTCAATGTGTTTCCCCTTGAATGCTTCATAGGCTGACATCTCAGTGCCACAGTTGCTGTTGACAACCGACACCCTATGAGAGCTGGCAGGAGATGTGCTTGTTAGGTGCCTCTCACCAAACGGAAAGAGAAACACTCCACCACTGATGTCGTACAAGCATGCCTTCAGTATGTCAGAGTAGTATGCTTTCTGTCCAGTGTCAGGGTTGTGATAACCTTTGGGGTTACTGACTGGATCATAGAGACTCTGTAGAGTCTCCTTGTTCAAAAGACCCTGATCTACAGCAATGTGAGCTGTTACCCTGACCCCAGTTGCTGGGTTTATCAGTCCTCCAGTAGCAACCTGGACCTCGAGGATCTTTTTGGCTTTGTATCTATCGAGAATCCTTTCCTCCATGGCCTGAAACACAGACAGCTTTTTGCCTTTAAAGATGTAACCACTAATAGCTTTCTCAGCCTCCATCAGTCTGTCTTTCAGGCTCGGATCTATAATCCCCCTCTCCAATGCCTCGGCAGCTGAATGCGTTTGTCCGGTAGCCAGATCTGTAAGGCTTCCTGTTGCAGCCTGAGCCTCGAGAAACTCAAGGGCATATGTCTTTGCTAGGAAGCCCTTCTCAGCAGCTTCCAGGAAGGATATCTTTTTCTTGCTCGACTCCACATAAATTCCAGCAATAGCAGCCGGTTTGCCGATGTACTCTTCATCCGAGGGCCTAAATTTGACCATATTTTGAATGCTTACACCCCCTTTGAGGTCTGGGAGCTTTTGGGGAGTTGAATATGTCACGCTCTGCTGTCCATCATGGTCTGTTATACTACTCTCTGATGTGCTCTGGTACATTTTTGTCTTGCTGACATTAGTTTTGTGCAGCTGTTTGTCTGTAAGTCCCAACAGAGCCATGTATCCCTGTGTTGTCACAGAGCTTTGGAAATCAGTGTTAACGTTGCTCTTGTAAGTCACACTTTGCACATCTTTCTTGAGAAAAGCGGGAATTTGATAAGGGGAGCTATCCAACATTGCGTTTGTTGTTGAATCCTGCTGAAGGCTTTGACTGTGAATGATCTCCTTCTTATCATGTCTGACATGTTTAATCCCTTCAAGAGTGATTTCGTTCTCCGTTGTTGCCATCTGTAGATGTGACATTGGAAGAGCTATTAAGTTTTTACAGCTACAATTATTAATATCAACTAACAGAAAAAAACAACTACTAAAAGGAGCATACTGCATTTAAACATACTGGATCTGTTAATAAATGCACTATTATGTTCCTGTAATGCAAAATTTAGCCTCGTGCGTACCTGTGAGGACTTTTTCACTGACAGAATCTCTTCATCTCTCCTGCTTTTTGTATCTTGATTTGAGTGCACCATTTTCTGCATTATAGCAACATCTGCATTCATCAGATCAGCCTTGTTGTCTTTCACATACTGGAAACTGCACTGAGTCGCCTCTAATCCGAGTGTCGAAAGCTTCTCCTGAAGGCCTTTAACCTCTTTGACGTACAGCACTATTTGTTCCCGCAGAGATCTTGCCTCATTTTCTTTCATCGTGAGTTTCCACTCGCTGTCTTTCAACAGCTGTTGAAACTTTGTCCATTCACCCGTTTGCTCATTGCAAAGGCTTTGCATAGCACTGATTTTTGACTTGAGTTTGACTTTTTCTTCCTCGAGTTCGTCTATTTGAGATTTTGCTTTTGACAAGTCTCGCTCGAGCTTCGTTCTCTCTTGCTGCACTTTGTCTGTTTTGATCTGAAGCTGTTGGTCCGGTTGTTGCTTTGAATCAGCTGTGCTCTGATGTTTTATCTGCTTCGTGTCTTGTTTGAAATACTTATTCAGCATCTCTGCTAGTTCAGCGCTGTGCACTGTGGATTTCTCGCTGTCGTTTGTGAGTTCGGACTGCAGTAAAATGATTTTTCTCTCTATTTCAGTTTTCACTAGCAGCAACTGCCTGTCATAGCCCTCTCTCTGGAGTTCTAGTTTGCTCTTTAACTCCTCCAGCATTTTCTTACACTTATCCAGTTGTTCCTCCATCTGCTGGGACCTCAGCTGAAGCGCAGCGTTTTCTATTTGCTTTTGCTCGGCTTCCGATTGGGCGTGCTGAAGGTTTTCTCTCAGTTTTCTGACTTCAGATCCCAATAAAATGCTTTTCTCTAACGCCTCAGCTTTCTCCCTCTTTAAAAGTGTATTCTCATTTTGTAGGTTTGATCTGGATTTCTCAGAACTGGACATCATTTCTTTGATTGTTATTCTATTTTTCTGAAGCTCAGCCTCCAGCTGAATTAATTTGGACTCTTTGACTTTTCTCTCTTGGGCCTCTTTCGCTAACTCGTCTTTTGTTTTTTGCAGTGAGGAGCTTAAATCTGAAAGTTTAGCGTTCAGGTTCTCGGCTTTCCTTTCCGTTTCTCTCTTCTCACTCTGAAGCGTGTAAAGTTCCTGCTTTACGTTTTCTGTCACTTTCTCCGAGCTGCTGGTTAACCCCTTAAAATTGTGCTTTTGTTTGAAAAGCTCATCTTCTAAAGCCTTGATTTTACTGAGATGCTTTTGATTCTCAGCAGATTCCTTCTGCAGTTGTGCATTTTTAGTATTCAGCATCACTTTCAAATCATTGATTTCAGCTTTCTGCATGTGGACCTTTTGATTTGCCGAATTCTTGTCAGAAAGCACTGACATCAGCTCAGTTTTAAGAGAGGTTATTTCTTTCTCATAACTGGCAGTACTTGAACTGAGAGCTTTGACTTTCTGCTGCAGTTCAGTCATTTTCTTTACCTCCACACTGTAATCTTGCAGTTTAATTTGAAGCTCATGAGAGCTTTGCGATTTCTTATTCAGCTCCTCCTCGATAATTCTGACCTGTGATTTGGTGCCCTCTACTTGAGCCCTAAAGATTTTAATTTGCTGATCCTTGCTGTCAATTTCCATCGTCGCCTGATCCAGTTTAGCTTTTATGTTCTTTAGATTTTCCTCCATCTCCAGATTGATCTGTTTCATCTCATCTACTCTCGCCTGCCACTGAGAAGCAGCTAATTCACTTTTTTGAAGTTCTGCTTCCAGATCTTTACACTTGCCCTGCAGCGCCTGCTCAGATTTTTTTATTAAGCTACTTTCTTCCTTTGCTGTTTGAACTTGCTGTTTCCAGCTGTCGAGCTCTCTCCTTAAAGACCTGAGCTTTTGTTCTGAAAGCAACCTCTCTTTTTCCATTGATTCCATCTGGATCTGAAGACCTTGAATATTACTCTCCGATGAGACATTCATCCTCGTCAGCTCACTGCATTTAAACTTCAGCTGATCTGTTACTGACTGTTTGGAAGCCAGGTCTAATTCTAAGCTGTTAATCTTGTAACTATTTTCCTGTTCAATGGAGCTTTTTTTCTGCAGCTCTCCGTGGGCGATGTTCAGCTGCTCTTTAAGGCCTTCTATTTCAGTGCTGTGAAAAAATGTGTTTTGTTCCAGAGAGGACTTTGCTCTTTTGAGAGATCTGATTTCGTCTTGAAGCTCATTGATGGATTTCTTCATGTTCTGTGTTTCCTGCTGGAGTTCCTCCGATTTCTGTCTCGTGCTAATCCTCTCAGCTTCCAAGTCCATCTGAAGTTTCTTCAGTCTGTTATTGCTGTCATCCAACAACTTTTTATAACTCTGTGCTTTTTCTTCAGCCATGTCTGCTTTTCTCTGGACCAGGACCAGCTCCTCTAATTTCTGCTGCAGAGCATCCACCATCGTGCTGTCATTTTCTCTGAATGCAGATGATCTCAGCTCACAGTCTCCTGCTGACTGGCTGTCAAAGGCCAAAGGCTGCTGAGCCACACGTTTAGCATGGATTTGGCTTTGCGGCTCATGAACAGTGGCAAAGTCTATTTCCTCCACATCTTTTTTTCTGTGAAGGCTTTGGGTATTAATATCGTGGCCATCGTTTCTATCTTTTAAGAAATCGTCTAGCTTCTTCTGAGTCAAAGACCATGTGGCCTCTGACTGCTCGATTAACATTTTTGTGTGCTTTAATTCCTGCTCAATTGCCATTTTGTCTTTAACTGCTATCTCTAATTTAGCATGATACTGATTCAGATCATGCTCGAGCTGGGATTTCTGACACTTTAGATCACCAATTGTCTTCTGCTGTGTTTCTATTTCTCCTTCCAATTTTTCCAACTGTTCTTGCCTCTCAGTCAGCAAAGCCTCCTGATCCCAGACCCGCTGCTTAAGTTGACTAATCTCTATATCCTCTGTAGCTTTTTGGAGCTCCATGCTTTCTGTCCACCTTTCATTCTCTGCTCTTTCAAAAGCTTTTCTCTTCTATAACGGGAAAAAAACACAAATCATCCACTGTAGACATTGTAAATTAGCGCCATTAATAATAAAACAGTCTCTCCAGGAATTTCCTTAATGAGTTTTGTTTATAAAAGAAGAGATAGCTTTACTGTAAATGCCTAAAAACTGCAAACATACCATCAATATTTTAGGTTTGATTTTATTTCAGTTGCAGTTTTATATGTCAAAACTAAGCTTTAGAAGTAATGCACAGATTCCTGGAGAGACATTTAAAAGAGACATATAAGATCTACTGCAGCAGAATTAGAAAAACGCTTTCTCATCCCAGCAAGTCAATATCTCTAGGAAGGAGCTACCATCCATGCAGGCATGCACTGCTCCATTTCCTTTGCTTCTTTTGTACAATGAAGCAAACTCTCTTCCGTCACAAGGAGACCTCCATCTGGGATAATTGTCTCGGTGTGAGTCAAAAAGTCAAGGTAGACAAGTAGTGGAAGTACTGTGAGCCACTAAAGCAAGCTGATAAAAAAGAGAAGACCACCCAGGAAGCATGCCCATGTGCGACAATACAGCTACATTGACATCAAGAAACAAATGGCGAACAAATTGAAATTGAAAAAGTGCCACACGAATCCCTGTTACCACAGAACGTTTTATGTGTTAAAGAAAGAATAACTCACCTCCTCGTCCTCAGTTCTCTTCAGCGTTTCGCTGGCAAACTTCACATACTGAGTCATCAGAGTCACCAGAGCAGTGTAGCGCGTTCGGAGATCCATAAACTATAAACACAACCAAGTATATCACTGAGCAGGCACTGTTGTTCATACAGAACTCATTTCTTCTGCTGACAAAGCCAAAATAAAGTTTCACCTCCTGCTGAATGGCATCAGAAGAACTCTGCATCCTCCGTTTCTTGAGAGGAGATTTGTGCTGGGAGTCGACCATCGCTCTGAACGTCATCAGCTGAAGTTCATAATCCTAAAAAAGAGTTTCACATGAATTGATGGTGAACTACTTTTTGTTAGATTATTATTGCTCAGTCTCCTTTCACCAAATGTCAACAAAATGTGACAAACTGCTGCAATATTCAGAAAAGATATTCTGCAAAAGCCCGCAGACCTGATGCGTTACTGTTTAGATAACAGAACTGTAAAGTGGGGGTTAAACTAAATTAAAGACAACAAATGGCTTCACCTTAACAGCAGATGAGTACTGCTCTGAGTACTTTTGACATTCGTCGATACTGCTCTGTTTCTTCTCAATTTCAGCAACAAGGATCTGAAAAACACACATTTTAATACATTGTGTATCTATATAAATGTTTTTTGCTGTGAATAACTTCTGTGTTGTCCTACTTTTTGTTTGTTTAACAGCTCAGCCAGTGCCTTGCTATCCTCAGGTTTGTGTTCTTGGGCCTTCAGCTGTGCTGCCTCCATGTCTCTAACCCATTCATCAAGGCTACTATAGGAGTCTCTGTAGTGCTTCAAAGATTTGCTGATACCATCCAGGTCGCGGAGCCTGAAAATTGGTTGGATAACCTTTTAGTGATCAATACATACACTGACTATTTTCTGCCAAAAACAGCTGGTGTGCTTGATTTAATTCAGAATGAATAAATGAAAAAAGCCAAACCTGCTATCGATCTGGGAGTGGATGTTCTGCCACCTCTCGCTCAACTGATCCGCCTTTTCTTTGTGCCAGTCGAGGTCAAAGTCGCGCTCGTTGTGCGCTTTAAACATGCGGTCACTGATGAGGCGCGCCTTCTGCAGCTCATCCTCCATGTCGTGGAATACCTCCTGTCTCTCATCAATCTCTGTCCGCCAGTGCTGTGTGCAGAAGCAGGAATGGTTAACAAGTCAAAACACTGGGTGTGTTGGTGAAATACTGAATCGTGATGGTGTAACACCTTTAGTGTGGAAATGACATTTTCAATGGATTTGACATCAGGGTTCATGGCATCTTCTTCGTAGAGTTTGGACTCATAGGCCTTAACAAGCGCCTCTGCACTCTGACTGTGTTTCACCACTAAACTCACAGTTTTTAATCTGCAATAGAAGAAAAAGGTCTTTAGTTCTAATATTCTTTTGTATTACAAACATACATATAAATGAATTACCTAATTGCAATGAAGGGAAACTCTTACTTGTCCATATAAATGGAAGACATGGAGTACACTTGGCTCATGCTCTGAATGAGGACTGTGAGCTCAGATGAAAGCGTTGCCACAGACGGAGAACCCGCGGCCTGTCTGAGGAACAGCTCACACTTCTCCTTCATGGCATCCAGATCCTCCTTCAGCTTATTCAGCTCTGCCATCTTCCTCTGCAAGAGCAGATGACGGCGGGGGGATGATTTAAACTGACAGCAACAGCGAAGTTCTCGAGTATCACAAATGAGTATTGCAATGTGTACCTCATGCTCTGTGATACGCTGCAGACTCTGCTCCAGGTCATCTCTTTCCAGGGGTGAGCGTATTTGCCTGATCAGGTGTTCTTCATGGGCCTCCAGATGCATACGGAAGTTGCGTATTTCCGAGATGTAATGATTGTACACCGACTCCTCGTGTTCCTCTGTGTAACAGAAAAGGATCAAAGTCTTTTAAAAATACTGACAGCTTGGTTGCGTTTTTCTTTTTTGAGGGTAATAAATATAAAGCTTTGCGTTATTTTGAAAATCATCCAAAGGAAAATAATTTAAACCCACAAATACTGCAGTTTAAACTGACAGCCTCTAGGTGGCACCCTTATTATGCTATAAGGTCAAGTAAGGTCTGATGCAATGGAGCTCAATCCACTGAACTTTGTATGCTGCTGAGGTGGAGTCAGTCCCAAAATGAGAAAATTATTACTAGTGCATTGAGAAAAATACACAACCTTTTAAAAGGAAATGCAAATATTTTATACTGTATATGTGAATACTGCCCACGTGCAGATGTATCAACACAGCTGAACAAATATTCTTCAAATTTTCCCAAAATTAAAATTCATGACTACACATAACACTTTAACGGCATACCAGTGCAGTATTTACATTCACAGCAAAATCAGAGTAATTCC